GCGGGCTCAGGCAATCCACTCACCTCAGCCTCCCAAAGCGTGGGATTATAGGCTGAGCCACCGAGCCCGGCTCTTTTAACATTTTTAATTTTAATTTTATTTTTTATTATGAAGATGTGGGGTACAATTCGGGGTTAGGTATACAAACGTTGATAATGTAGGTACCCTTGATGATGAGGTATGCCCCTCCCTCCCCTAGCAGTTTCCCTCAACTGCCCGTTCCATCTCCTCGCTCCCCGACAGTTTCCCACTACTGCCAATCCCTTTCTTACAGTATTATGATAATTGTTCAAGGTCCGCTTATGAGTGAGAACATACCGTACTCTGTTCTTGGTTTCTGTGATAGATCACTGAGCGTGATAGACTCTAACTCCATCCAAGTTGCTGCGAAGACCATATGTTTGTCCTTCTTTATGGCTGGATAATATTCCATTGTGTATATGTACCACTTTTTAAAAATTCAGTCCAACTTTGATGGGAAACATGGTTGGTTCCATGTCTTTGCTATTATGAATAGAGCGACAACAAAGATACATGTGCAGGTATCTTTTTTGTAGAATGATTTGAGCTCCTCTGGGTATGTTCCCAATGGGGGAATTGCTGGATCATATGGCAGGTCAATTTCTAGTTCTTTCAGAAATCAGTTAATTTTGGGGGGAAGATTCTTTCAACAAGTTTGCCCATTTCTTTTTTTGACATTGGTTATAGTAGTATATTCATTTATGAATAATATCTATACAGCATGCAGGTATATGTTATTTACAGATGGAAATAATATATTGACGATCATTTTAAGTTTTAGATTTTATAACTGAAAGGGTAAACTGAGGCAAAGTGGGCCAGTGCTGGGGGAATAATGCAAGTTTGCAGCAGAGAAAAAAGTAGTTTTTTTTTTTTTTCGAGTCAGAGTCTCACTCTGTCGCCCAGGCTGGAGTGCAGTGGCACGCTCACGGCCACTGCAGCCTCGACCTGCTGAGCTCAGGTGATCCTTCCATCTCAGCCTTCCAAGTCGCTGGAACTACAGGCATGCCCCACCACCCCTGGCTAATTTTTCTTGATTTCTTGTAGAGATGAGGTCTCCCCAAGTTGCTCAGGCTGGTCTCGAATCCGTGGGCTTAGGCAACCCTCTCACCTCAGCCTCCCAAAGGGCTGGGATTACAGGCTTGAGCCACTGTGCCCAGCCTAGCAGTTTTTGTCCAAAAATGGCATGGCCCCCATGGTCCACCCTTCCTAGTCAACTGATCTTATCCAAGCAATTTAGTTTTTGTTTCCTCGGATGAAAAAAGTCCTCAAAGGGAAACGTTTTGCTAATGTGGAAGAGGTGAAACCAAAAATGACAGAACTAAAAGGCATCAAAATGGATGTTCAGGCCGGGCTCGGTGGCTCAGCCTGTAATCCCACGCCTTGGGCGGCTGAGGTGAGTGGATTGCCTGAGCCCGCGGGTTCAGACCCGCCTGGGCAACTTGGCGAGACCTCATCTCTACAATAAATCAAAAATTAGCCGGGCGTGGTAGCGCGCGCCTGTAGTTCCAATTACTCGGAAGGCTGAGGCGGAAGGATCGCCGGAGCCCAGCAGGTCGAGGCTGCGGTGGCCGGGAGCGGCCACTGCACTCCAGTCTGGGTGACAGAGTGAGACTCCAACTCAAAAAAAAAAAAAAAAAAGTTTTTGAAAAGTCTCATGGTATTCAGCTATATTTACCTATTAGCCCTTCACGCCGTTATGATCTAATCTTATAGCCCTCCTCATATTTACCAAAGATTTTGGTACCTGGTGTTCCTTTCCTATCTTTAAATTTCACCATTTATTTTCTGGCTTTTCATTTCCACTTCAGCCACTTTATTCCATGGCTCTGCCCTGGACTTCATCACCTCCTAGAGATATTTCACCCTGAGTTCATTTGGCACTTTGACCACAGGGCTCTCACAACCATTGTCTGTGCTGCATTGGTCTTCAATGGCCTCAGAGGCCTGCAGTTTCATGATTCTTATCTCAGCTCCAGGCTAGTTTAATGACCTGAGCTATAGTATCAGTAGTCTCTCTCTCTTTTTTTTTTTTTTTGCAATAAAATCCCAAGCCTAAACAAATACTATAATTCTTTTTTGGGGGTGGGTTGGGGAAGATTCAGAGTCTCACTTTGTCATCCAGGCTAGAGTGCCGTGGCACGATCATGGCTATTGCAGCGTCACCTGGACTCAGGTGATCGTTCTGCCTCAGCCTCCCTAGTAGCTGCCACTACAGGCACAGGCCATCACACCTAGCTACTTGTTTGTTTTTCTTTGTAGAGACGAGATCTTGCTATGGCTGTGTTGCCTAGGCTGATGTCGAACACCCGGGTTCCAAGCAATCCTCCTGCCTCAGCTTCCCAAATGTAGGGATTGCAGGTATGAGCCACTGCGCCCGTCGGAGTGCTGTAATTCAAATTTTCTGCTGCTGCAGCCTGGTAGCTGAATTCTGTAAAAAAGTAACCAATGAAAGCCGGCTTTTCAATCTCAGCAACCTCTTTCAAAGTTTCTCCACTCTTCTGCGGTCTCCTTCCTTGTGTAAGAACCTAAACCTGGGCCGGGCGTGGCAGCTCAGCCTGTAATCCCAGCGCTTCGGGAGGCCAAGGTGAGTGGATTGCCTGAGCCCGCGGGTTCGAGACCCACCTGGGCAACTTGGTGAGACATCATCTCTACAATAAATAAAAAATTAGCCGGGCGTGGTAGCGCGCGCCTAGTTCCAGTTACTTAGAAGGTTGAGGCGGAAGGATCACCGGAGCCCAGCAGGTGGAGTCTGCAGTGGCCGGGAGCGACCACTGCATTCCAGTCTGGGTGACAGAGTGAGACTCCAACTCAAAAAAAAAAAAAAAAAAAGAACATGGAATGCTACAGTACTCAGTCGGTGTTTAATAAACCCTGAGCCTCGACAGGATCCGATAAAAAGAAACATGAGCTCGGCTCGGTGGCTCAGCCTGTAATCCCGCGCCTTTGGGAGGCTGAGGTGAGTGGAGACCCGCCTGGGCAGGCGAGACCTCATCTCTACAATAAATACATTTTAAAAAACTAGCCGGGCGTGGTAGCGCGCGCCTGCAGTTCCAGCTACTTGGAAGGCTGAGGCGGAAGGATCGCCGGAGCCCAGCAGGTCGAGGCTGCGGTGGCCGGAGCGGCCACTGCACTCCAGTCTGGGCGGCAGAGTGAGACTCCAACTCAAAAAAAAAAAAAAAGAAACATGAATCTACGCTCCACCAGCTTCATTCATTCCTTTCCTACCCCCCGTTCCTCTCTAGGCTCCTCCTCCCAAGACTCTCGCGATACTTGGTGTCTGGTCCCGTGCCGCAGCTGAGCGGCGTACTTCTCGCGAGGCTACAGGCAGCGCCGGGCCAGACATGGCGGAAGGTAGGGTTTTTGTGGAGCCGCGCGGGAAGGCGCGGAACTGTGGGGGCGCTGCCGGCCGGGCGAAGTGGCTCTGGGAGGGGGCGGCCAGGCGTGGTCGCTTAGGGCCCCTCGGGTCTCGCGAGCCTTCCTTTCCAGCCTCTCCTGGGCTCTAGGGCCGGGGTCCGGAGTGCGGTTCCTATGGCAACGCCCCTCCCGCGTCGCCGACCCCAGGGGACCAGGACGGGCCCGAGGGCCGGGTCGCTAGGTCTCGCGCCAGCACGGGGTGCAGGGGTGGACCCCGAGGGCGGCGGGAAAGGCGCCTTTGATTATCGGCGGTGCCGGGACGGCGGGGAAGTAATCCTTCTCCTTAGGAAATCGAAACTGCTGTCTTGGCATGTCCTGCATCCGGAAGGGTGCATCCCTGAGCTGCGGAGAGCGTGGACCCTCCTGGGGTGAGGGTGGGGCCCCCGCTGCGAAGGGCCCACGGGCCTGGTGGGCGCGCACCGGAGCCCCTGCGCTGTCCGGGCCAGGCTTGCACACGAGGGGGTTTGCGTGGTTCGGGAGTTGGCCAAGGTCACACTGCTTGCAAGAGGCTGGAAAACCAGGTCTTTGGTCCTTTCCTCCCAGTCCAGTCCGTACTCTTCTTTGGTGCTCTCTTGATGACATTGCAGGTAAAGGCAATCTGGTCTCTCAGGTTTTGCCTCCCTTAACGCAGCAGTGTTAGAGTACTTCATTGTCAAAGCCTTATTGTACAGGTGGGGGGAAAGAAGGCCCAGAGATGGAGTGTCGCTGTCAGAGACCACACAGTGACTCTGGAATTTGAGCGTGCTTCTCCTCTTTACCCGTTATTGAAGAAAAATACTCCTTGTTTGGCCTTTGTTTATTGAGTGACTGCAGTGTCCCCGACCACGATCTGTCCTGTTGCTTTTGAGTTAAGCTTTGACTGAACCTATCATTTGTTGGATCTTAGATTTGGGCAGCACTTGGCAATTTGTAGGTTTTTTTCATTTGGTTTAGACTTCAGAAAATTCTCAAGAAAGAGACTGGGAATGTGTGTTATTTGCCCTTTAAAGATAAAAGAGTTAAGGCCAAAGTTACAGAGATATCTGGGAATGGCTTTTTCCACCATGATGTTGGAGGGGGAATATCTCTAAAAGCAGAGGAGGAAGAAAAGGAACAGAAAGAAAGCCAAGGCATCCCCTCAAGTTGGTTTTTGGGTAAATCACTGAATGTTGTTTTACACAGCAGGCAGCCAAGGAAGTAGAACTGTTCTCACAACAATGAGGTTGGGTAATAACCTTCAGAAAGGACTTATTGTGAGGCAATGGCTAGTCTAGCACTTTTACACTAGGCAGGGAAATTGAGGAGTGTTTTGGGGACACATTACCAGGTTGAAATTGTGGAGGACAGCTGGTTTTTCATTCGGCAGTTTTGCTGAGCACCTGCTTTGCTTTACAGTCAGGTTTCAGTCATGAGGAGCTCATACAGGCTGAGGACAGTGTACTGATTATTATCATACAAGTGCCTTTAAAAATTTTTGTTTACGGGCCGGGCTCGGTGGCTCAGCCTATAATCTCGCACTTTGGGAGGCTGAGGTGAGTGGATTGCCTGAGCCCGTGGGTTTGAGACCCACCTGGGCAACTTGGTGAGACCTTATCTCTACAACAAATCAAAAATTAGCCAGGCGTGGTAGCAAGCGCCTGTAGTTCCAGCTACTTGGAAGGCTGAGGTGGAAGGATCGCCGGAGCCCAGCAGGTCGAGGCTGCGGTGGCCGGGAGCGGCCACTGCATTCCAGTCTGGGTGACAGAGTGAGACTTCAACTCAAAAAAAGAAAAAAAAAATTTTGTTTACTTTTGAGTCAGTCTCACTCCGTTGTTCAGTCTGGAGTGCAGTGGCACGCTCACAGCCACTGCAGCCTCTACCTGCTGGGCTCAGGCAATCCTTCCACCTCAGCCTTCCAAGTATCTGGAACTACAGGCATGTGCCACTACGCCTGGCTAATTTTTGATTTTATTGTAGTGACGAGGCCTTGCCAAGTTGCCTAGGCTAATCTCGAACCCCCCGGGCACAGGCAGTTCTCTAGTCTCTGCCTCCCAAAGTGCTGGGATTACAGGCATGAGCCACCGCGCATGGCCTGTATTTTATACTTTTTAGAGACAGGGTCTTGCTCTGTCCTCCAGGTTTAAGTACAGTGGCACAATCATAGTTCACTACCACCTAGATCCTTCTGCCTCAGTCTCCACAGTAGTTAAGACTACAAGTGTGTGCTAGCATGCCTGGCTAACTTTTCTTTTTTCTTTTTTGTAGAGATGGGATTTCGCTATATTGCTCAGATGCAGGTCTCGAACTCCTGGCCTCAAGCAATCCTCCCACCTTGGCCTCCCAAAGTCCTGGGGCTCCAGGTGTGAGCCACCATGCCTAGCCAGGTGGTTTGAGATATATGTTAGGGTAGTCTTGAGAGACTTCTTGCCAGTGGTGTATATACCTCAAACACCACAAACATCCTTTCAGAGTTATATTGGCAGAAGAGAGATAAATAAGTAAGCACTTTCATGAATTTCTTACTGTACAGTTTTTCTTTTACCCTTTTTTAATGTCCTAATTTCCTGGCCTCTGTAAGAATTTAAGCTTTTTTGAAACTGTGTTGCAAATTTTGACTAGGAGGAATTGAGCAAGGCATTCTGGGTGAGTTAACTCATTAAACTGAAGGTACTTGCAGTGCAAAGGAAGGCAAAGTTAGCTGGAAAATATTTTGTGGGATATTACTTGTTTAATACTGCTTGTACTTTTTTTTTGAGTTGGAGTCTCACTCTGTCACTCAGACTGGAGTGCAATGGCACGTCCCCAGCCACCACAGCCTCTACCTGCTGGACTCTGGCAATCCTTCCGCCTTAGCCTTCCAAGTAGCCGGAACTACAGGCATGTGCTACCATGCCTGGCTAATTTTTGATTTATTGTAGAGAACGAGGTCTCACCAAGCTGCCCGGGCAGGTCTTGAACCCTCGGGCTCAGGCAGTCCACTCGCCTCCACCTCCCAAAGTGCTGGGATTACAGGCTGAGCCATGGAGCCCGGCCTGCTTGTACTTTAATCAGAATTGTCAGGGCCTGCTATACATGTTCTGACATACTCATTTAAATATAGACAAAGAGCAAAAATCTGTGTCATGAAACAACTGAATTTTCTGTAAGCACACTTTATAGAACTTTTTTGATACTTTTTATTGTTTGGTGGTATGAGAGTGTGGGAAATAGCCCCTAGTAATAGTAAGTAGAATCTTGAGAGACTGAGTATGCAATAGCTTCTTAGTAGATTCATTTAGATAATAGCCTTCTTTCCTTCCATCAATCCATGGCTATTAATTTGGCCATCTATATTTAGCCAAAGTCTGCCCTAAAATTAGCTTTTACTCTACATCTCTGTGGCTGTCCTACTAGTCTAAGCTTCTTTTTAACTCAAGTAAACTGCTTCAAAAGCCTCCTACACACGTGGTCTTCCTGCTTTTAATTTTTCTTCCTTGATTTTGTTTTCACAGTTTCTAAGAAAGTGTTCCCTTTAAAACATAAATAACAGCCTGGACAATATAGCAAGACCTCGTCTTTACAAGAAATAAAAACTAACTGGGCTTGGTGGTACATGCCTGTAGTCCTAGCTACTTGGGAGGCTGAGGCCATATTGTCTGAGCCCAGGAGGTTGAGGCTGTGGTACTCTAGCCTGGGCAATAGAGTGAGACTCTGACTCACACAAAACAGAACAAAACAGAAATAAGATCACATCTCTCCCACTCTTCTCAATACACCTAATCCTACATCCCCAACTCTCATGGTTCTCCATGATCTTAAAATATATTCCAGAGCCTTCCAATGACCTCCAAATCCCAATAGGGTGTGGTCCCTGCTAAGCACTTGTGACCTTCTTTCCTACTTATTTTGACTGTGCTCTGCCACACTGCTTTGCTGCCTTCCTTGCTGTTCTTTGTATGTGCTCAGCATGCTTCTATCTTTGCATCTTTGTCCTCATAGTTCCTTTGGCTTAGAACAGTCTTCTGCCATTTCTCCATACAACTGACCAACTTTTATTCACTCAGGTGTGTCTGTTCAGGTGTAATCTCATGAGAGAACTTCCCTTATTGAAATATAAACCCCATGGGATCAGGGACTTTCCTCTGTTTTGTTCATTGCTGTATCTTCCAACTTAAAATCATGCCTGTGGTTGAAGGAATGTATTAATTTATTGAACATCATTTGCCAACCCTCAGGAAAAGTTGCCTGGATACATCCTTAGCCTCTTGCCAAGCCCAACATTTATTATTCTCTTAATAACATCAGTCTGTTAGGAGCTACCTAATCTATTTACTGGCTCATTTTAGCTTTAGCAAGTGAAGTGTAATGCTTTTGGATGTGGATTTGAATCCTGGTTTACTCCTGTGATCATAAGCATGTCAGTTCATTGCTCTCAGTCCCAGTTTTCTCAACTTTAAAAGGGATATTGACCAGGCTCGGTGGCTCAGCCTGTTATCCCAGCACTTTGGGAAGCTGAGGCAAGTGGATTGCCTGAGCCCGTGGGTTCGAGACCAACCCGGGCAACTTGGCAAGACCTCGTCTCTACAATAAATTAAAAAATTAGCCAAGAGTGGTAGTGTGTGCCTATAGTTCCGGCTACTTGGAAGGCTGAGGCAGAAGGATCACCGGAGCCCAGCAGGTTAACACTGGGGTGGCCATGAGTGTGCCACTGCCCTCCAGCCTGGGTGATAGAGTGAGACTCCAGCTTAAAAAATAAAAATAAAAAAAATAAAAGGGATATTGCCATCTCACAGGTAGCTGTGAGAACCAGAAAAAATAGTGTTTGAAGAACATATTTATATTTAGCCGAGTGCCTAACGTTTTGACCCTGGCATGCGATCTTTCTCTTAGTCTCCTTTTAAACCAATCTCCACTTCCCTTCCTCAGTAGTTTTTTGTAAATGATTTATTGAACAGAAAATTTATCACAGCTTTTATTAACTTAATGGAATTTGGTTAGAAAAATACTTTTGACAACTCAAGTAATTAGGGAAGACATTCCATATTCCAGGCATTCACTGACTAATACAATAGTCACTAACCACATGTGGCTACCTAAATTTATTTAAAATTAAAAATTAATTCCTTAGTTGTACTGGTTCCATTCCAAGTGGTCAATAGCTACGTGGCTAGTGGCTCCCTTATTGGATTTTTTTTTTTTTTTTTTTGAGTTAAAGTCTCACTGTCACCCAGACTGGAGTGCAGTGGCCGCTCCCAGCCACTGCAGCCTCGTCCTGCTGGGCTCTGGGAATCCTTCCGCCTCAGCCTTCCAAGTAGCCGAAATTACAGGCACAC